ATGGGTTATTGAAATAATCATCAGTGAAGGAAATATTAGACATGGTATAAAGTGTCTCATTAAGTTGTGACAAAACGCTTATACCAATGCCATCAGGTTTTTTCGTAAACATTCTCATTATTTCCCAGATACTAACTGTACAATAAAGAAAATTGAGTTTTAATCCACCAATACAAAAATCATTTAAAAGGTATAGATCATTTATAACTATATGAGTGCAGTGATGTATAATTAAATATCGATTTTTGTCATTCAGGCTCGCGCCTAATTCATGCATCTGTCTTAGCGCTTTCGTATAAATTTTTCGTTCAGGGATGTGATATAAATTAAGAATTTCCTCAGACGATAATATTGGGTGAGCGGAAAATATATCTATTGCATACAGTCGCTTATGTAGCGGATTTGCAAAGTTGAAAATATAATTGTATAAAATATCTTTATTGTTTAAGGTTACATTAAAATCAACAGGTGTCTTTTCGTTTTCATTTAATGCTTCCATTATCGAATTACTTTTCTGTTCGGTATAAGAATTTATGTTTTTTTTGTTTTCGACCGACGCAGACATATGTTTATTCTTAAAAGATTCTATAAGTAGATCTAATGTTGCTTCTATATTAGCGCTTGCCCATTCCTGTCTGTTTTGTAGGGTATCAAAATGCAAATCTATTTTTTCTTCTTTTCCTTCCCGTCCTTTTATAACTAATTTTAATCCTATGCCCATTCCTAGATATACAAGGCTTTTAATTAAAATTAAATCTTCTATTTCACAGCATACTGGCCATGGTTTTTTCTTAATGCTAGTAAAATCTAAATATTGATTGTAAAAAAATTTAATCGCAATATCCCCAGCTTTCCCGGAAAAATAGATGCAGACTTTAGGCTTCCCTGTTAATTTGGAAATTGCATCGCGCCAAACGTATGGGCTTAATTTATTGTACTTTACCCATAATTCTTTTTTGAATTCTCTCTTAAGAAATCTTTCATGTAGCGCTTCATAGAATACTAGATAAAAATCCCGTTTGATCTCCATAGCAATCAAAAATAGCCATTTCTAAACTTGCAATTTTTGGGAATTCCTGGAATTCCCGGAAATTCTAAAATTGGCTATGTTGGTAAAGGGGAAGGCATATTTGCATTACAGTTTGATTCATTTAAATCCAAATTAAGTTGCAAAAGACCTT